TCATGTGTTCATGTCCAGTGAAAAGTTGATCATTGCCAGTGCCACAAGTAATGCTGAGGGCCCCATCATCGCCTTGTCCCTTGGTCTTGCCTTCACCGTCATTCTCTTGGTGCTGGTCGGTTGCAGATTGAGGAATGTCAGGCATAGACTGCGAAAAGGTCGACCATTGCATCAAAATGAGGCAGATTATTTGATTAATGGCATGTATTTGTAGGAGGGTTTTAAGATGGCTGTGTTTATTGTAATCACCAGATGAAAAGGACTTTAGCATTTAATGAAAAGTCAAAAGTGGCCTATCAGTGTCCAGCCAATGGCCTATCAGCAACATGTAAGTTTGCTTTTGCCAGGTTTTTTAACAAGAGTTTGATATCTCCTTTATTTATTCTTATCTTTGTTGTTCAAATCTGAGTTTGACCAAGTTTACAAATGTATCAAGTATGAAGGGCTTATACAGCACAGTTGCTTGGTCCAGGCCAGTTTGGCTTATAGGTGTGCAGGGAGTGAGATGATGACCTTTTGTTGAAGTCATTTAAAATTATTTGATATACAATTTAAAAGTGTGTGGATCAAAATCAAAACTACTTAATTTACCCAGGACTCCTTGTTTGTTTTAGGGGGATGAAATCATCGTTTTTGTTATTGGTTCACTTTCTCATACTTGTAAATATCATCTGGAGTTTTCAATTTAACTTCGTGTTATTGTTATATTTGACTCAGTTTTTTGTAAGCTTAAAAAAGAAACAATGTCCATTTACTGTGCTTAAAGTAAAATCCAGTCTTGCTATTCCAAAAGCACAAACCCAAATGTTTTCTTGATAAAATATTTTAAATTATTTGCTGAACTGATTTAAATATAATTATATTTCTTCATAAATATCAATCACAAATACCTTGTTCATTAAAACTAAAATTTTTTAATGTAATTTACATTTTCCCTGGTTTTTGGGGGGGGGGGGGAATAGCAGGGTTGCCAATTAAAATAAATAAAAATTACAAACAAATATTCAAAATCTCCACATTTTATGGACGAACCAAATTTTTTAAGGACACATTTTTAAAATAGCTCAATATTATTTTAATATCCATACGATTATGTTTTTAAAACTGTGTCTGTGACTATATGTCATGACTATGAAGCTTGAGCCTTCCTATTATATAAAGTTATTTTATCATATAGCATTTTCATTATGGTAGTGTTGAAATTTTACATGATCATAAAAGTTTAAAGCAATCAAGAAAAAATCCCAAAAGTTGATTTATTCCATTGTGTTTTACTGCGAAATAAGTTTGAAAATTTACCGTGGGGGGGGGGGGGATTTCCTAAATACAGACTGTCCATACATGTATGAGCGGTTGGCAACCCTGACTAGAAGAGAGAGAAGAGAGTACCACTAACTTGTTAACTAATAGTTACATTCCAATAGATAATAGGAAGTAAAGCAGTCCAAGTACAATCATGTTACTCACAAGGTATCTTATTGAGTGGTAAAGAAATGTCTACTCAGTCTAAAATATTAGAACTTATTTATTTCATTGAATAAATCCGGTGTTTGCCAACTGGGGACCGTGAGACATGTGCACATATATATATTTATATACACACACACACATACATAACATAATTATTGGATGAAATAATCTAATGGACATGCCAAGAATTATGCTAAAGAAAAAAAATCCTATCATAATACAAAGGGAATGCCTAGCTTTGAATGGTACTAAGGGGATTTATGAACCTAAAGTTTACAGCACAAATTTTCAAGACACGTCTTTAACTGCTCTACTTGAACTCAATCATTCTGTTCCACCGGAGGTAAACATTTTGTATTAACTTATTAATGCAATGACCTACTATTGCTAATCTGATCCATCAGCACTGGGTCAGTAGAGGACAGTTTTTCAAAGCTGGTGATACACAGGCCTCGATAGAGTTTTAAAAAGGAAAGATCACTAAAATCCCATGTTTTTTAAACTGTGATTTAAAGACTACAGATTTGATTTGTATCGTGTGATATTCAGTAAGTGAATGGGAGATGAAATATGTAGTCAGTTGTACACCTCCTAAATAATGAACTACAGATGTACGCTGGTTGGGAAGATGTTGCCAACTTGGCAAATACAAAATCTATATATATAATTTGTCAGCAAAGGTCAAACAAGATGGGTCAAACACCACGCTGGCTATTTATAGATACGCCAGAGTGTGGTTCAATAATGAGTTCACTAGCGCGCAAAATATAAGTCCCGATAACTATGCTATATATGATAGATATGTATATTTTTAGTAACGCAATTGCCTTTGGTGCGTAATATTTTCTTTTCGGAAATGAAATCGTTTCAATTTAAGTATTGTGTAAAAAAATATTCGGTTTAAAAGTGGTCGGGACAAGAGAATATTAATATAGTTCATGGGCGGGAAATACAAAGTGTGCAGTGACGTATCATGGGGGAAGGGGTGTAGCAAATATTGGGATTCTTTTAAATGTGCGTTACTTGAGTTTATGTTTTGTCAAGTAACTTTACTAGATGGGAAGTTCACACATTGCTGTCGCCAATGTTTGGCGGGCTATATCTAGCTGTATTTATTTCATTGAAATTTGAACAAAATATTTGAAGGCAATAGGTTTGATTTATAAATATGTTATTATTGGAGTGAAAGAATGAACAAGATTGTTGGGAAAGTGCTAATGACATGTGTTGTGCTTCCCGCTACGCCACTGAACATCTGGGTTGTTGAGAAGACACAACTCTGTCCTATATTCAATATCTAGAGCTGTTGTTTTTTTTTTCCCCCAAGTAGACTTGTGCTGAGCCAACAAGGGTCCCATTTCATAATTCTTGATGTTTCTGTACCTGTTGACAATGTATTACACAATGGGAATATGTGCATTCAATCTGTTACTTTCATACCTCGGTATAGCTTTCTAAATTTTGTACCTGGATTATTATATTATATATGACATTTCTTACCTTGGCATAGCCATCTTATTTTGTACCAAGACAAAAAATGGCCTTTCTTAACTCGGCATAACCATGTAATTTTATACCAGTTAACATGGCATTTTTACCTTGGCATACCCATCTAAATTTTGTACCAGTACAATATTGCATTTTGTACATTTGCATAGCCATTTAATTTTGTGCCTGTACAATATGGCATTTTTTACTTTGGCATACCCATCTAAATTTTGTACCAGTACAATATGGCATTTTTTACCCTGGTATACCCATCTAAATTTTGTACCAGTACAATGTGGCATTTTTTACCCTGGTATACCCATCTAAATTTTGTACCAGTACAATATGGCATTTTGTACTTTCGCATAGCCATCTAATTTTGCAGAGTTAATGACAGTTTCTTACCTTGACATAGCCATCTGCTTGTGTACCAGGAATATTTGGTTACCAAAAATTTGATAGAAAGAAAGTTCTTCGACTGAAATTTGATCGAATGGAAATTTGATTGAATCTTTTTTTCAGTTCACATGTTAAAATGTTCATTAAATTTCTTTTTGAATGTATTATACTATATAGTAAAACAAAATAATGCATTCAAAAAGAAATTTGAAGCAAAATTTTAACGTAAAAAAATATTTGACCAAATTACAGTTAGATCAAATTACCGTTGATCAATTTACCGTCGACGAAATTTCTTTCAATCAAATTTTCGGAATGGGGAATATTTGCTAGGATAGGTCTTGTATGTATGAGATCTGTAAGTTAGTGCTTGTCTTTATTTTTTTTTTTCTTTAGACCACTTTCAAATGTCATCGCTTATAAATTTAAATTTTTTTTTTTTTTTTTTTTTTTTACTTTTTTTTATTTTTTTTGGTTATTTTTTTTTTAATCTGTAAGTTAGTGCTTGTCTTTATTTTTTTTTTTCTTTAGACCACTTTCAAATGTCATCGCTTATAAATTTAAATTTTTTTTTTTTTTTTTTTTCATTTACATTTTTTAATATTTGATGGATGCATTTATTTTATACTAATGAAAAACATGTTTACTAATATATTTGATTAGCCCTTTTAGCTAAGGAAATAATTGAAAGTAACATAAATTACTTTTTACCCGCTTTCATTTCTACTGGATATGAGCATTCTTTATGACATAAGCACTGTTTATCTGACATGAGGGTTGACTATCTGTCCATATTTTTTAAGGCAGTTTAGCTTAAAAGTTTGGCATTTCTTCATGTTACTGTTTCCAACATTTTTAGTGTTTTAAATTATTTTTAGGTCAAAATTTAACTTTTTTGATTTGGGGGAGCAACTTCATTACCTTTCATCATTCCAGCTATTTCCATTGAAATAACGTCTGAATTTTAACATTTACTTTTGACTTTTTGTTTTTCGAACACTTGATTAAAAGGAGATGCCTACAAAAATATTTATAAAAGTCATTTGTTTTAAAGACCAAAATCATCATTGCATTAATGTGAAAAATATTGTAAACCCACGGTTGTTTCTTTACTGTTAATGGTTGTTTATATTTTTATTGTATTTTTTCTTCCATGAAATGTGTTAGTAATTTTTTTTTTATATATATATGTATTTTATTTTTGTACTTGACATGTGCATCCTTGTCTTGTGATAAGTTTTGTAATAAAAATGAAGTATCAACAACAAAAAGATGTCTTAATGGATTTCTTGTTCCCCAGTGCAATTGTAACTGGGTCCTTTAGTGTTAATCAGTTGAGGAAAGTTTAATTTATCCGACTAGAATTACTTGAAACTGAGATTGGGAGAGTTAGGTACATTAGAAATAACTCACGAGTTGATAGTTTCTGTAATGATAGTTAATTTTTTGTGAGTAAGTAACCTGGCACCAGATGTTTGTCAATTCGGGGAATGGAGAATTGAGCTGAATTAAATAATGTACAAATTCTGTCAGCTCACTATTTCTGTAAAGAAGTTTTATGGTTCAACTCTAAGAGAATCAGTAACCTGTGCAGCTAATCATTTTTTTTAATAAAAAGATGACAGATATTTTTATAAAGGATTTTATTTTAGGAACAGGAGGCAACATTTAAGGAAAGAATTATTAACCATCAATAACAAAATTTTGCCATATTTTTTTTTTCAAAATGTTGACATGGGATAATAATATATTGAGCAATTCAATGCTTCACAAATGTTACAACCACAAACAGGGACTATGTGTCAGGTTTGATACAAACGAGCGTGAAGTGAATCGACACCCCACTGTACAAAGTATTTGAACAAGGCATTGACTACAGAAAACTAATCTTTTGGGATATAAAGAGAAGAGTGAAAATATGAATAAATAAAAAGCGCTCTAAATCTATTTATAGATACAGATCAAACCAGATAGAGAATTATCAATATTGATAAAATAGTTCAACAATTAATTAATGTCAGCAAATGTTCAACAACACAGCTTGTTAAAGGGGAAATAATTTAACACATTTCGTTACTGAGGAAATAATTTATTGAACTCAAACTGCAACGTTTAAAATCAGAGCATGATTAAAACAAAAATAAACAAGTTGGCTTAACTAGCAACACAAAATAGATGTCGAATAAGCACTATATAACAAACCCTAACTCACAGAATGAAATTAACGGCGCTACGGACCAATTAAATTATAGAAAGAAATCACCAGTGGCTAAAAATATATGTACATATAGGACAAGGTAAGTTTGCATACTTTATACAAAAATACAATTTGGCCAACTAAACCTTTCCTCTGATTCATTTCATCTTATCCCGCATGCCGTAAGTGTCACTGAGATAAGTAGCAGTACCTTAGGGACAGAAAGGCCATCCCGACAAGTTTTCTTGCTAAGCTCACATTTTGGTTCTCCATCAGGCTGAAACAAAATCTTTAATATCCCATCTTTTTACTATAGGGTTTGTCATTTCGAAGACCGGAAAACGTCACATCGCTTTACGCAATGTTACTATTTTTAGATATATTTTCGTAAAACATAGCTTCTAACAATGTATTTCCGCACATATATAACAGTAACAATTTGTTTATATAATCTTTCGTAAAATAAAGTTAACACATTTTTTACTATTTTTAAAGCCCACTACGCCGGCTCACATTAACGTTTAAAGATTGGCCAAACGGAATACCAGAATTTTTTATAAATATCTGAATGAGATTGGCCAGACTGTACACCCGGATATTCTATTAATAGATTTCTGCCATTAAATGAACCCTGTTAAAAAAACTCTTGTAAAGTACTATCAATTAAACAAATGTTTTCTTCAAATCTACATTGCACAATAATTATAGTTGACAAAATGAGATTTGAATCTTCAAATAATCTTTTTTAAGTAGGATTATTAAAGATTTCCAATGACAGCACTGAATTGAATTGGTCAAAAATTTACTCATAAAGTACATGTTTATTTCTTTGAAGGAATGACAACTAAAAGACCAAGAAAAATACACTAGTGTGTAAAAATAAAATGTCATATTAAAAAACTCAACATTTTAGCGTGTAGTTGTTTTTACATTTAGCAGCTTCTTTCTATTAAACTTATAGTATTTTAACACCTTAATGATTAAAATATTAATATACGGATGGATGCAGAATGCAAAGCTGGGCAAAGTAAACTAACAATCAATTGGCCAACAAAACTTTTCTTGATTCATCAAGCAGGGAGGGCTTCACAGCTCAAATTTTCTTCTGAAAATAACAAAAAAAGTTAAAAATGAAAAATATTGTTAAATAACCCTTGCTTGTTGTCAGTCGTTGAGGTCATTAAGGAAAGGGGTCATGCATAAATTACATACGCACTGAGGGGGAGATATTCCAGTTGTTCAAAGACCCAACCGCAGTCATTACAATTTTTAAAAATGCAGACTGTGCTGGGCAGGACACCTTGAGAGGATGCCGTATTGTAGAGCAGCAAAAGTCATCTAGTCTACAGACAGCAACCTAGTGGCAGATAGCTCACCAGTCAACCAAGACTAGTTGGATTGACGATGTGGAAAAGGACTTACATCAGCTGGGGATCTGCAGGTGAAGCATCGACCCAAAAGTAAGGATATGGTGAAGTAGTCCAGGGTACTAAATGGGCTGTAGGTCAAGGTACTATATGGGCTGTAGGCCAGGGTACTACATGGGTTGTAGACCAGGGTACTACATGGGATGTAGGCCAGGGTACTACATGGGACTGTAGGCCAGGGTACTACATGGGCTGTAGGCCACGGTAGTACATGGGGCTGTAGGCCAGGGTAGTACATGGGACTGTAGGCCAGGGTACTACATGGGCTGTAGGCCACGGTAGTACATGGGGCTGTAGGCCAGGGTAGTACATGGGACTGTAGGCCAGTGTACTACATGGGTTGTAGCGCCACTGATTATGATGGGTGGAAAGGGGGGGGGCGGGTGTTAAGGTTGTTTTTTTGTTTTATTTTGCGGTAAGGTGGGTGTCTTGGCCGAATTGAGACTTAACTGGAGCATAATGAATAAATGCACAGGCCTGAATGACAGCACTAAGACTCAAAGAATTAAGCATGTACAATGCATATTAACAAAAATCAAATGTGGGTAAAATTCCTAACTACGAAAAGTTAATTAAGGAAATTTAATTATACCCAACATTAAATTAAATTGTTAACACCCTTGAGTAAAAAACATACCATTAAATTAGGCGCTGACTAATCAAGAAATAACAAATTTTCATCAACATAATATAAATTGCACTTAATAGGGCAATTGCAAGGGGGTATGGTAACATTAAGTAATGGGAAAGTGGAGGACATATATAAGTGTTAGGACGGTCAGTAGGGGATAGGATGGGAAAGTCAGTAGGGGATAGGATGGGAGAGTCAGTGGGGGATAGGATGGGAGAGTCAGTAGGGATAGGATGGGAGAGTCAGTAGGGGATAGGATGGGAGAGACAGTAGGGGATAGGATGGGAGAGTCACTAAGGTATAGGATGGGAGAGTCAGTAGGGGATAGGATGGGAAAGTCAGTAGGGGATAGGATGGGAGAGTCACTAAGGTATAGGATGGGAGACTCGGTTAATGATATGATGGAAGGTCGAATATTAGCAGGGAGAGGGTGGGCGAGATCTGGATGGTGGTGAGGTTAGAAGAGGCCAGCCTAATATCATTATGACAGTGTACAAACCCTAGATATATTCAGTCTAATATGACAGTACACAAAGAATATAATGGACATGTTCGGCCTCATATATTTGATGATAGAGTACATTTTCTAGACATGTTCGGCCTCATATATTTGATGATAGAGTATATTTTCTAGACATGTTCAGCCTCATATATTTGTTGACAACTCAAACTGTACTTTATTTTAATTCTTGTCTAAAAAGTGTATACCTTATGTCAAGCTTAACAAGAGAAGCAGAACCCGGTCCATCAGCTTTTGAGAAAATGTAATTGTGTTGGTCAGAGCAAGGGATAGCTGCATAGCATTTTAACATGGTTGTTGATATTAATAGAAAAATATTTCATCCCTATACATGTGACATGCATACAGTAAGCAATACAGCATCACAAACAATTAAGTATGTATGTACGTATGGCTGTAATGCTGTGTTCAACTGGCATGAAAAATAAAATTCCCAGAAGTTAGCACTAATTGGATGCATGTTTTGTCGAGTAACTTAAGTAGATGGGAAGTTCATGAAATGCCACGGCCGTTTGGCAGGTTATTTCTAGTAATATAATAAAAGATTGTGGCATTGATTCAAACATTGTTTACCTTTTAAATTTAAATATGTTGGTTAAAATAAAACCCATAGGTTGGTTCAAAGTAGAGATGTCAATACATTTTTTATATGGCAAATCAGTTATTGGTTTTAAGAATCTGGTTTTAAACCTTTTAGGGTTTTCCCAAAGAATTCTCAACTGATCCTTAAAGCAAGGCCAGACAGACAAAAACTTTTACAAGATTGAAAGTGGCAAAGGATGGTTGATCTATTTTTCAGAACTGACAAAGCAAAATATCCTCCCTGTCCCATTCTGATAACATGGGTACCATCACGTACTATTTTTGGCCAGTATCTCTTTCATACATTTTACACTGTGTTGTCCTTTAACATCCTTACTTCAAAGTTATCCTTTATCGTATAGGATCTAAATAAAGCAAGGGGGATAATTTGGAGACTGGGTCCATACGTGTGAAGAGAATATTAAGAACAAGATATGGGAAACTTCAAAAATAGTATGAAAGAAAAACAATGACATTTTTTTTTTGCTGAAAGAAGAAATCTTCTGGGAATAGAACAAATAATTTGAAGTAATATAGTTATAGATGTACTGTGTATCATTGGCTGCTAGCCAGTATCTACATATCTAGCTATCGTGGGAAAGATGACAATAAATAAACTGAATTCCAACCAAGAATGGATGCATTACAGATTCCAATATATTTAGCTGTTTTAAGTGCTTACATTTCACCCATCAATGGATGCATCATTACAGATTCCACTATCTTTTGTTGTGTCAGTGCTTACATGTCCCCGTGTAATGTACTCAACTAGTCATCATCATTCAAAAATAAAGCGCCTTTTAAAATAACTAATAAACCTGGCCTGATTGATATAATAAAATATTTGGCGGTAAGCCTTCTTGATCTTGCATGACATTCATTTTAGTTTCAGGGTCTTGCTTTTTTAACCCAGGAACTGTCCAGTACAATCGTGCTGTGATGTCAAGCCATTTTTAGTAACTGAAATGAATCACTCAAATCCCAAAAAATAACAGAAAATCAATCCATAGACCCATCAAAGTATGCATATTCTGACATTAAATTGGACAAGGAATCATGTGGTATCAATTTTGGTATTCTGTGAGCTATGTAAAAAAATAAAAAATATGACCTTGAACTTTCTACATTGTGTATAATTGTTCCACTGTTTATCTGTCTTCAACTCATACCCACACTGTTGGGTCCTTTTTATCATCGAAATAAGTTTTTTTTCAGACACGGCATACAGTATTCTTTCAGTTTAAAGAGTAGAAAAAAAATTGAAATTATAGAATTTTTTGTGTGTTAATAACTTCATTTGTGACTTACATATATATTTCTTAACATTAAGGCCTATTAAATTCATTAGTACCATATGGTCCACATTTAGAGCTTGAACTAGCTCCACTGTCATAATTATCACCAGCATAAGTAATGCCAAAAAAAGATCTTCAAAATCATTTTCTTCAAGAAATAATTTAAATAAATTAGGCTTTTGTTTTGCAGGGAAAATATCCAAGTCCTACAAGATTGTTTTAACAGGTCTAGTTTATGAGAGTTATCCCCTTGAAAAAAATTAAAACTTTTGATACACATTTATAAGATTAATTTTGGTAGAGGCCTATTTTATCTGCAATAACACCACAGCAGCAGCAATAATGGCAGCTGATTGTCCAGAAAGTTCATGGGTTAGGCAAAATGTTAACATGAGATTGACAGGTTAATGAGTTGGACAAGGGGAGGAAACAATTTTGTCATAGCAGACAGTTAACGCGCACAAACAATACCAACACATGCTAGTTATCTCCACCTGGGCCACTGCTTGTCCTTGCTTGTTAGAGGGACATAGAGAACTCCCATTAGGTTCTTCTGTACTATAGATCCATCCTGCAACTTGTCAACCTGTCACAGAGAATATCGCCAATAGGGGGCAATTAGTCAACCTGTCACAGGGAACATCGGCAATAGAGGAGAAATTTTTTAAAAAAGATAATGATGTGTTCAGTTTATTTAAATAATAATTATATTATTGAATTGAGTACATAAAATCAATTGATACAAATAGCCTTCCAGTCACTAAGTGTATCTCTGTTATAACAACTTACCTGGTCATTAGTGTATAACTGACATATCAACCTACCTGTCAATAGTGTATTTCTGATAAAGGATAATATATAGGGGAAACATTCAAGCTTCAAGCTGTGTGAACAAATAGTGGAACAAGAATATAAAAGCCTTGAAAAAAAAGACAGAACAATCAACAGAACGACAAAACAAGAAAATTAAAAACTCAAGTGTTACCAGATCACAATGTAGCTTCATCAGTGTAAAAAAAAAAAAACCCACTGCCCAGAGACTGAGACAGCTACATTTTGATTTTTTTAAAAATAAGTTTTTCATTGCAAATAATTTTTTTTTATTTCTTGGTTTATACTGAAGAAGGCATTTAGCTGAAATGTCCTTTCAATTGTTCTGTCTTTTTTTTTTAAAGCCCAAAATATCTTGTTCTACTATCTATGTATTTCTGATCTACCAACCTACCTGTAATAGACTCTGGTTTTCACCAGCTGGGCCAACCGGAATAATCAGGCGACCGCCAGGTTTCAGCTGCTCAATCAACTATAAAAAAACAATAGGCATTTTTTAATAAAACAATAGACATACTTTTAAAATCCAATCACCACCGGTTAACGTATAATGTCTACTGCTTTGTTAAAAAATGTCTATTGTTTTATTAAAAAATGCCTATTGTTTTTTAATAAAACAATAGACATTTTTTAACAAAATTTTTTTTTTTGGGGGGGGGGGGGTAAAATATATGGCTAAGTAGATTTTAAACATTGAATTTTGTAGTGACATCCTGCCAATGGATAAGAAAGAATTAGGGATTTAATCCAAGAAAGAACCTAGGGTTTAATACACATCAACGTCAACGTAGTTCTCCAATAAACCCATCTCAACGAATTGGAATTTTACTTAAATGACCATTCCCCTTAGCCCAAACTATAATTATTTGCCAAATTGGTTGATACCTACTGCTTCTGGTAGGTCTGGCGCTGCTGCTCCAACATGAATGGCATCAAAAGGGGCTTCTGGGAGATAGCCTTGCCTGCCGTCTCCTACCACCAACAAGAGCCGATCTGTCTCCATTAGGACTCTGGTGATTAAATCTTTCCCAATGTTGTTCCTAGATTCCTCCACAAGTTCCGGGATGTGATCTATCCCAACTGCTTTCCCAGTTTTTCCAACCTGGCATAGAATTGGAATGTTCATAATTTATTTGTTAAACAAGAAAACAAAGAATGTTCATAATGTCCATCAAGCTACCATCAAAGTCACACATCAAGGTCATACAACTGAACATCAAAGCCATATAACCTACCATCAAGGCCATTTAATCTACCATCATGGCCATACAACCAACCATCAAAGCCATACAACCTACCATCAAGTCTTATAATCTACCATCAAAGCCATACAACCTACCATCAAGGCCATACAACATACCATCAAAGCCATACAACCTACCATCATGGCCATATAACCTACCACCAAGGCCATGCAACCTAACATCTAGGAATAAAACCTACCATCAAGGCCATATAATCTACCATCAAGGCCATACAACCTACCATCAAAACCATACAACCTACCATCAAAGCCATACAACCTACCATCAAAGCCATACAACCTACCATCAAAGCCATACAACCTACCATCAAAGCCATATAACCTACCATCAAGGCCATACAAACCTACCATCAAAGCCACGCAACCTACCATCAAGGCCATGCAGGCGGTAAGATATCCACTTCCAGATCCAACATCCAGAGCTTTACTTCCTTCCGTCAAATGATCAGAAAGAAGCTCCAAGGCATGAGCATGCTGTACAGAAAGGAAAAGGCATCAACATAAATTATACTAAAAGATGGCTTGACCTCTGCACTTTGACCCATGCTGCTGACCCCTGCCTGTTGACCTATGCTGCTGACCCTTGTCAATTAAACCATGCTGCTGACCACAGCCTATCTGAAATTTTAATCTATGAATTCCTAACCAAAAAAGAAAATGTATAGTTGGTTGAAGTGTTCCGTTACATTATTTCCAATATTCTAATGGAGAGCATTTAATTGTGTCGATGTTCATCCCTGACAAGGTACTGGAACACACAAGATCACTGTTGTCAGAATATAAACCCACTAACAAAATAAGTGGACCACTCATCCATATAAATTTATCAACAAAATGTTTGGCAGTTTCGTCTCAATGCCAAATATTCACTTTTTTGTTGTTTTCTTAACGATCATTTAACGCAGTTCAAATTGGGAATTATCTGAGTGTAATTACATATGGAATCATTTGAGTGCAAGTATGTTAGTTTTAGGAATGTGTGAGAAACAGTTTTGAGTAATCGTGTCTGGACTCTGTCACATAAATTATGTGTGCATGTGTTATGTGGGTGACATATAAGGCTGCAATGAAGCCTGTGACCTACCATATGTGGAGCACTTATTGTCACTGCATATCCTATGCTCTGTGGGGAGTCGTTATAAGGATTAGCCTTGCAGAAATGAGCCCTGTCCACTTTCAACATAGCATTAACAACTCTGTCAGATTTAATGATGCCATTTTCTGCAAAAACAAAAACATTGCAAGATTCAGCCACATTAGTAAACATTAGGTTTATAATCAAGTACACACTGACACAATTGTATCTAAACATGTGCACACTGACACACCTGCACTGAATCATGTACTCAATGACACACAGTCATCAACATTCATAAAATACCATGTGTCGATAAACAATTCATTCACTACTATGTTTCTATCAATATTCCTACTAGCTAGATTTTCCACAAGCTGGGTGTTGCTGTTGCCACTGGATCGCCAGGCCATCACTAATGTTCTCGGTAGAAAAAACAATACAACTGCTTGAGACAAGAGCTTAAGACGGTTTATCCACATTGACATGTGTCAACATCCTTCACCTGAAACCTGGTTATTCTGTATTGTCAGATTCTTCTCACCTGTTGAAACAAACAAAAATAATGAAGGTAATGCAGCACTTTTGTTATCATGATGAAAAGGTGAACACGTTATATGTCTTAGATGGTCTCATGACTGACATTGTAGGCCAAGAAAATACATTTCATATTCCTTGAAGTAAGTTTTCCTACACTGTCTGTAAAGAAAAAATACCCACCAAGCTAAACCTCAATTGAATTCCATTAAGAGAAATAATATTATTGCTCAGTTTTATGATGGTCTGCCATAAATCTTTTGCTCTTGTCTTTAGCTTCCCTACATCATTGCTCATCCTTCGCATGCAAAGATGACCAAGGCTCCAACTTGAGTGATAGCCTTGACTCTGGCTGTATTTTGTTTTAAAGTGAGGGAGAGTTGCTAAATTTGTCAGTCTCACTCTCTCATCTTTGTCTATTTGTTCCAATAGCAAGACTTTGAGTGCACCTTAATTGTATTATGATGATGATGTTTCCTGAATTCTCCAGGAACTTGAAAAAGAAGTTTGTAATGATTGCTTCCAATGCAAGCTTTTTGGGAGGTGAAGTCAGGCAGCACCCAAGAGTGGCAAGGGAATTATATATTAATCGCCTGAGCCAATTGGTGCTTAAAAGACTATGATTGCCTTAGAACACAAAGATGGCTAAGACTGGTCAGAGGCCGCAAAGATGGAAAAGACTGATCAGAGGGCGCCAAGAGGGCGCCAAGATGGCTAAGACAGGTCAGAGGGCACCAAGATGGCTAAGACTGGTAATACTCTCTTTTGTTTTGTTCTTCTCACCAAAGAAGGCTTTCAGTTAAAACGTATGTTTTGTTCTGCTCACCAAAGAAGGCTTTCAGTTAAAATGTACGTTTTGTTCTGCTCACCAAAGAAGGCTTTCAGTTAAAACATATATTTCGTTCTGCTCACCAAAGAAGGCTTTCAGTTAAAACTTATGTTTTGTTCTGCTCACCAAAGAAGGCTTTTGGTCAAAACTTATGTTTTGTTCTTCCCATTACAGAATATTTCTTGTGGCAGATTGAATGGGTTTTCCTTTATATTATACTTGAAAGGGGAAACCACTGTGACATCTTTTCTGAGTTTTTTTTTCTGCATTTAACATATGTTTTAATTTTAATCAAGCTGTCATATTGTGGATCATGTTTTTTGCTGTGTAAAAATTAAATAATAGACAAATAAAACTTGAATGCATAGCTAAAATATGTGTATGTCTATACGTAGGCCTGGTCATAATATTTTACATTATATAATTTTGTTTATGTCTTTTATTAAAATTAACCATTAGGCCTAGAATCTTATTACTTTTCAACTTTAATATTATGAAAATAATCTATCTTATTAAAGTAAAGAAGACATAAAAGAGTCTGTAGAGTTTTTAAACAATAGAAATTTTAACAAAATTTTTAACATGTTCAAAAAATGTGTCGCTTACAATTATATTCATGTAATTTAATTTTCCTGTCTTAAGGCAGTGAGTGCCAGCATACACTGGCAGCTGTCAAACTAGACCCTAAGGGTCAACCATTTTTGCAGAGAAGCCATTGTTGCAGCCAATGAAAAGTAAATTTCGACACACTATAATAAATTATGAAATAAAACTTCTAAACATTAGGCAGGACTATTTACTTTTGGTCAATTTACGCTTTACAATTCACCCTGAGCTTCTGTGTATGAATATATACTCCCCATATTTATTTGTAAGAGTTAACTTTCCTTTTTTTTTAATATTAAAATATCAATGTTTTTGAATAATGACCTTTTAAAATTAATTTTACATTGTGGTTAATAACAATATTTCAAAACAAGGCTATTTTGGGGGGGGGGTCTTACTGTCTTATCATTTTGAAAAATGCATGTTGAATTTTGTGACATTTTGGATTGTATTTTCAGGGGAACCTGTAATTAAGTGTGTAAAAGTGTATTCAATGAAACTGTAAGTTGGGTTTTCATTATTAAACGAATATTTTTAAAAATGTTCTTATGTTTTACACTTTTCTCACAACAGTGTGTAATTGTTGCATGGATGTTTAAGTTGAGGGAAGGGCGCAACCACAGGTCATTGGCACATATAGTTGCATATCTAGAGGGATATAATAAAGTTGCTACTTTCGGCATGTAATTAATTTACCGGCAGAAATATCACCAGGAAAGGGGCGACCGCAGGTCGTTGACACTTCTTGCAGCATATCTAGCTACTTACTTATACTTATACCTTTTATGCCATTTAGATCATTGGTCATCTTCAATAATTTCCATTCATCTCAATCCTGTGCTTTCCTTTCCAGTTGCTTCTATGTGTATCCTAAACTTTGTGTGTCTGCCTCTAGCTGACAAATCCATGAATTCTTTGATATTTCTCTCTTCCTTTTCCCTGTGGAATTCATGATAGGAATTGTCTGGTGATGTTAACCTGGGGTTTACAAAGAGTGTGCCTTATCCATCTCCACCTTTTCCTCATGATGTCTTCAGCAAAAGGCTCTTCATATATCTTTTCCAGTAAGTCTTGGTTGTTGATGATGTTTGGCCATTTGATATCCAGGATCTTTTTATGGCAAGCATTTGTGAAGGTCTGTAATTTCTGCGTGATGCTCACTATTGTTCTCCAAGTTTCAACTACATAGAGTAGGACTGTTTTGACATTTGCGTTTAAATTCTAACTTTGACTTTGATTTGCAGAGTCAGGTCCTTAGACTCACATATTTTCTTTAATAGCACAAATGTTGACATAGTCTTGCCGATTCTAGCCGTAACATCAGCTTCGGATATACCATTGATGTCAACGCATATCTAAAGGGATACAATAAAGTTGCTACTTTCGCCACAAACAAAATATATTGCTAATTTTTTTTTATATTTAAACCATTCAATTAATTTTTTTTATTTTACTGTAACACACCGTCTCCCTTCTCCCTTATTTCACTGCGTTGGGTACTACATTTTTTTACATGTCTGTTGCCATGGCAAAGTACTACCTAACACGACCCAAATGCTAAGGAAAGCATAAATTTACCTTAATTTGTTTTAATTTGGCTAAAATAGACAATCTGCGCCATGACATCATTTACATTTTTATGTTAAGTTTCTGTGTTAGATTTACTCCCCATTGTGTTGTTACTAAAATTAACTATGACAATGGAATGTTTTATTAATTGAAATTTCATGGTTGGCTAATAATAATATGTAAATGTTCTGAGATTTTGGAAAATGGATATGATATTGTATTTATTAATTTTCTGTCAACTTTTGAATTTGTTGTTTTTTGTGGAGCCTGAAATAAAGTGTATAAGTGTATTCTATGAAACTGTAAGTTGGGTTTTCATTATTTTAAAATTATTTTGTATTGTTTTTCAATTTTACATTTTTCTTGATCCCAATGTTTAATTGTAGCCGGATGGATATTTTAGTTGAGGGAAACAAGCATGTACCAGCTGAAATTGTGTCTAAAAGGGGGCGACCATAGGTTGTTGATATTTCTTGCCAAACAGATGGTTACAATGAAGTATTGCCACTTGCCACGAAATTTATGTTTCGGCTGAAATTATTTTAATTAAATTTTAATTTGTATGTTTTTAACTAATTTTTTACGCTTTTATTTTTAATGTTATTTTTTTACTTTTTTTTTTTTTTAAACTGCCACTATCTTGTTTGTCAAAACCTGTGACCTTTTTTTTTTTCTTTATTTTAAGGGCCCACTATCAAGGCTGAAATTATTTTAATTAAATTTTAATTTGTATGTTTTTAACTAATTTTTTTCGCTTTTATTTTTAATGTTATTTTTTTACTTTTTTTTTTTTTTAAACTGCCACTATCTTGTTTGTCAAAACCTGTGACCTTTTTATTCTTCTATATATTAAGGGCCCACTATCAATATTGATCATTCTGGCTCTTATGTATGTATAGGGGATTCACAATGTTTTTGTGCCTGGAATTGAAGAGGATACTTCACTGGTTGCAAGGGGCTACATGGGGAGAGTATCAGGAACTGGGGGTTGGAAGGCTTGAGGAAATAGAAGCAAATGTGTCAAGGGTTGTCGCCTCAACTGTTACTTTTTGAAGCTTGTTCCAGTCCCTGATTGTCTTTGGCAAAAATGAGAATTTCCTGTACTGTGCTCTTGCTGTTATGAGCAGGAACTGCCCGTCATGGCCTCGCCACTGTCTAGGGGGGAGAGGGACAAGTTTCTGTTTGATGTTGGATCAGTGGACCAGCCCATATTTTATCTTGTAGTAGGCTACATCAAGACATGCCTGGAATCCAGGCTGGATAATCATGGCCATTCCTCCAGTGATAACCAACCCAGTGTTTCCGTCAAATTTACCTTAGCCTTAACATTTTTTGGGGAAGTACCGGTACCAAATTCATCAAAATTGAGTTAGTTAGAGATCCATTTGCCGCAAGTGGATCAGTTGGGGTTTCCAAACCTCACACTATTTATACTCACTTGTCACTAGGACTACACTGACTCACTAACTAGTGAATACTAGATCCCTCTAGCTTCTTGACTAGTACTACACAGTTACTAACTACGTCAGACTAACTAACTGAAACTGTAATACAGTTACTGTAGTAGTACTACACTTTTGCTTTTTCTTTTGTCGGCGTCATTACGTTCGCAAGAAGAATGCCTGGGATTACTTTAATTATTTGCTGATTTTGACTTTGCTTCAAACAGAATTGCACTGAAACATTTTCAGAGTAATAAGTGCATTCAAAAATATGTTGAAAAGAAAATATATATTAAAATCTCAATGAAAAGATTCACTCACGGCGCAATTTATTGTGATATTTACAGTTTCTTCGACAGCAATTTCGAAAGGTCAACATGATGAATTCGATTTCCGGGTCATAAAAGATTTTTCATTACTAGTATTACCCGCGGCTGGCTCGATTTAATTTTGAGATGTGGATCTGTAGTTGTTTTTTTTTGGGGGGGGGGGGGGGAGGGGGGGGGTTTTTTTTTCTTTTTTTTTGGGGGGGGGGGAAGGGGGGGTTCTCTTTTTCTTCTTTTTTTAAGTTTATATAGCCAATTCATTTATTAATATCTCAAAAAAAACTTCTCTAAAATTAAAAGAAGTCAATAAATAAAATACCCACCAAGAAAATGTTCATTTAAACAAATGCAATCCCATAAGATTTTTAAAAATACAATTCTATAAACTAACAATGGACTAGCATTGTGTTAAATCATAGGCCTATAAAAATAATTATATTTTTTTAAAATTAAAAAATAGATTTTAAAAGTTACCTAAATCGTCAATACTAGGGCTGTGCCTGGTGCAATTTTTACACCCGGTTCGGGTCCCGGTACTTTAAGACAATGACCGGTGGGATCGCATTCGGTTGTTACAAAAAAATAGTTATCTTTTCATTGTGGTGACCCAACACAACCAGAATTATACCTTGAAATTGAGAAACGGGTTATGAAAAGGGGAGATGGGGCAGAGCTTATTCGAATATAAAAAAGTTGTTGGTACTGTAATTCGGATTGGGGTTGGATTAGACCCCTCAGCCGACGCCGTGCGCCGAATACGCCGCCGAATTTTCGTCTGCCAAAAATCCACCGGAAAATATGCGGCGCGACGCATTAGCCGCCGTATTTCGTCCGCCGTAAATCCGCCGAAGAATGAACGAGTCGCCGTAACGTAATGTTTTTGCTTTCTTAAATTTCATGGCGTTCCGTTTTAAGGTATCAGGTATTGAGTGACAGAAACTAAATGAATGGAATGCATTCATGCACTGTATTAGTAGGACAGCATATACAACTTTTTTTTTATTGTTTGAAATAATAAAACTTTTTCTGAAGTATTGTTAAAGTGTTTTATTGTTGAAGTTTTATTACTTCATTATTGGCCAGGCTTCAGCCGAATTTCAACCGAATATTTCGTAATCAGCCGAAAATCAGCCGCAAATGTCAATTTACGGAGAAATCCGGATATCAGCCAAAAAATTATGTCAGCCAGCCGAAAATTTAAAAAAAAAATCGGCTTGCAGGTCTAGGTTGGAGGGAGGCAGAAATAAGGGCTAAGAAGGGTGTAGGGTTCTTTAGAAGGGGGAATGAATTCTATGCCCCAAACACTTTTAATAAATTTACACACTTGTTTCATATTTTGGCGTAGAAGCTGCTAACTTTTAAATTAGATGGAAAAAATGTAACAAATAAAGAAAAAAATCATATAAAATATAATTTGTTAATGAATAAAATCAAGATCCTTATATTAATTGAGATGTCAACATCTACATCATAGTTTTTATTTTATGTAGCTGTAGTGTATTCATAGTGTTGTAACAATAAGAAACTAGTCCGGTCACTGTTAATAATATTTAGGCCTACATCTAAAAATGAAACTTCAAATAATTATTTAAAAAATGAGCATTTTACACATAACCCCATTCCCTTAAATTTCTTAAATTCTTAATACAACCCTGACATTTTGTCAGGCAACCCACGACGGGGTCGTGATCCACAGGTTAAGAACCACTGCCTTCACCATAAATATAACAAAATAAAACATGGAGTGGAGCTTCGCTATGTCGTACTATGCTTTGGTGTTGCTGGTCGCTGGTTGATAGCGGTTTTAATTTTTCTAATTCAAACGTTCGTATATTATTTTAATAGATATTTATAGAATCATCATGGCAATATTATCATAGCCTTTGTTCATAGGGTTGCCAGGTATGCTTCCAAGCGGACAAACGGGTGGGGGGGGGGGGGTTAAGTAGGAAACAACAAAATTTAAAGCTTTTAAAATTAAATTAAATATTTTCTTACAAACAGTTTAACACGTATTAAGATAATCACTTCAAAACTTTACTTAAAATTCAAAACAACAAATATATTATATTTTACATTTTACTTTGCTGTCGTGTGTATTTTTTATTTGCCTGCGCAGCTTTGATCAATTATTTGTGTTTAAGGAATAATTCCTTAATTTCAGTACAAGTACAATGTTGAGAAATATTCAAAAATATACAAAGTTCACTGTACTTTGAACTGATAGTACAAGCAGTCGGTTATATTCGTCAGTCCACATATTTCCCATGACGCTGAAAATTCGTTCAACGTTTGCATTTGATACCTGAATTGATGCACAATACTGGAACAGTTTCAGTAAACTCGGAGCAGGCTCTTTCTTGAAAAAGTACGTCCACTTTTCAAGTTATGAATCGCCCTGCAGATGAACATAAACTTCTTCTAAGGCAGAAATTTCATCGAAGAGAGTGTTGGGTGGAAGTTCTTCTCGCCATGGTGATAATAACCAGATGTTCGTCATTTCTTATAAAGTTCGAGGATTATTGTGATCAGTTAGATTGAAACAACTTAGCTTCTCATATACTGAATCGGTGAAATTATACCACTTTTCTAGGTTCTCAATGGCTCTTTGATACACGTTGTTGATGGCTTCCTTCTTGAACTTTAGCACGGCATTTTCAGGCAACTCTTTTTACGTAAGGCAAATAAAACTTTCATTCCAAAAAAACTGCTCATCGTATTTTTGTGTGTGCAAAGAATCACTAAACTTACACATGATAATGTGAAGATCACATGCAAGAATTTTCTTGCTTTCCAGCTTCAGTAGGGTGTATTGCATTATTGACATGAAGAAGTGCGTGAAATATAAATACCATTTCACCATAAAGCTTTTGAATTTAAAAAATCTCCACTATCTTGTGGAAAAAAAAATAGTGAACATATTGTGAAAAAAGCGGACTGTCCGCTCAAATGGTGGACACCTGGCAACCGTATTTGTTTAATATAAAAAAGGGGGGAGGGGCTGTGTTCAAGCTTTGTGAAGTAAATAAATAGTGGAACATTATATGTTTAGGCTTTTTTATTTTAAAAAAAAACACAAAAAAATAACAATTAGGACGTTTCGGCTGAACGCCAACTTCAGCAGAAAAAACAAAACAAGAAATAATAAATTATTTGAAATTACACAGAGACTGCAAGAACTACGTTGTGATCTAGGAACACTTTTAATTTTTAAAACCTAGCCATATCTTGTTCCACTATTTATTTCCTTCGGTTAAGCCAGTTGAATCACTTATTAAATGAGTGTTAAATTGATATGGAATTCCATAATAGAACATATAAAAGGGTCCACGTCCAAAAATCAACTTTGGCTACTCAGTGTCACCAGCCAGTCAGAATTTAATATGAAATATTAATTGTAAATAAAAAGTGCCATAGTCATAACCAAAGTTAGACAAATAATTAATTGCAAAACATTCACAGCTACGACATTAATATTTTCAGAGCTTTGCAGTTTCATATAGCTTTTATTTGGTTTTCCACCAATCGCTGGTCAGTTTTCTATTATGACTAATTTAATTCAGGTAAAATGTCCACAAAAAAATATGTAAAAAATGATGTCCTGGTTCTTCTATGCATGCAAGTTTCATTTCTTCTCCATTGGTTGGAATACTTAGGGAAAAAGAAATACCCCCCCCCTTTTTTTTTACCACCATGACCCAGTTCCTTTTTTTTTTTTTTTTTGGCCGGGTCCAGATATAGGCCGGTTTTACTAATAATTGGTACTTCCGGTTATACTGGTCAGTACCCATTTTTTTTTTTTTTTTTTTTTTTTTTTTTTTTTGCGAAACATTTTTTTTTTTTTTTTTTTTTTTTCTAATTTTTCTAATTTCTTTTTTTTTTTTTTTTTTGGCCGGGTCCAGATATAGGCCGGTTGTACTAATAATTGGTACTTCCGGTTATACTGGTCAGTACCCGACTCAGCCATAGTCATTACTAGTAACTAACATACAAACAACAGTATTAAATATCCTTGACTCCCCTTGCACTTACTCTGTAATATAACTTTTAAAAAATCTAACAAATATTTGTAATTGGTACGAAGAGAAACAGATTTATATTTTAAAAGCGTTTTTTATGTTGTTCTTTTCATCATTTTTATCTCCCTTTTTAATGTAAACTGAAGCAGAAGAACCCATTTAAAAGATATTGCAATATTATTTCATCCTGACACGCATCACGCAAGGCCAATTAATCTGCTTAATTGTTTTGTTAATTGAGACTGGCATAGGCGTATTTGTTTATTTAGATCAGGGGTCGGCGAACTGGGGTGAATTATACAAAATGGGGTAAAAATAAAAATGTGGGGGTAATGGGGGCTCAAAAGCCATAAACAAAATTATATTAAAAGCGCATTCCTTTTTACGAAAGTATTTTCTTCTGGCAACATTCTGTGTTTTACTAGTGGCTCGGCAGCTAGCGTAACCGCACCACATGCCTTGTATACGTCATTTTGGCCTTGTCGCCGACTATTTCATCTTCTTATGCACAGTGGCATCACTGGGGTTGGTGTAAAGTGCGGTAAACTCAAAGTGTCACCTCCTCTATGCTTTCCCTATGGACCTACTTCGAGTCTGCTTTCTCCAGTGACAACTTGCTCTGGTGGAATCCAACTATTGTAGTGTCCTACTCTGGGATTACCCTATTCTGAACGCACCCGATGCTGTCACAGCCTTTTCTCAAAGCACCCTAAGCTGCTCTGGTGGCATCTTGACCTTGTGTTTCACTTTGGTCTGTCATGAAAAAGACTTGATGGAACTCTTTTTTTTATAACTTACTATTTTCTATTTGGTGTCACCCACACCTTCCTCACGATTTAGTGTCATCCACACCTTCCTCACGATTTGGTATCACCAACTCCTCCCCCCCACCCCACCTTCCTTTTTGGCGTCCTCTAGAGGCCGACCGAAAGTGTTTTTTCTGAATTCGGCCGAAGCCGAAAATAGGCCGAAAGTTTAAAATGACTTTCGGCCGAAACCGAAAAAAGGCCGAAAGTTTAAAAATGACTTTCGGCCGAAACCGAAAAAAGACCGAAAGTTAAAAATGAATTTCGGCCGAAACCGAAGCCGAAACCGAAAATGAAATATTAAGATATTTTGAAATTCGTTCCCGCATACATTCTGC